GGATTTGAACGACCCAGGGTTGGTTAATGACGTCATTGCAACCTCTCCACCAATGAAAGACTTGCATTTATAGTAAGATAGTGATTGATCAACCCTGGGTCGTTCAAATCCTGTATAATCGAAAACGCTATAGGACTTTAGACTCGGTCCCTCTATTCCTTAGTCCGTGAGCCCCACTCACATCACCTAGAGTACCTCTAGTAAGAGTATGGATACCGTTAGTCAATTTTTGATTGGTTCTTCGATTCGCCATATGTAACAGGGAAATAGAAAAGGGAAAATTGAATTCATTATTGTATACTGATAAAAAACAATAATATTCGCGTGATTTTATATACAAGTTAATAAACAATTTTATATATTTGTATATTATCGATTTGAGTTAAATCCTATTAAGACTAATTATTATATTTTGTTGATGCAAGTGATGCAAGTTGTCAGGTTACATTGTCAGGCGTTCAATGTACGTTGTCGTATATTTCTGTGATACTTCGTAAGTTCTATTTAATGTTATATTTAATATTATATAATATTATTGAAGATATTACATTATTAATAAAATATAAACTTATAATTTATTTATTACTTTCATAATTACTTATCAATATTACTTAATTGTACATATAATTAGTAATCCTAACCTTAAAATAAACATACATATGGAAAAACATTTAAATATATTTAATTTGCAAGATGCAAGATGCCGAGTTGCTCAGCAAAAAAATGTACGAACTCATGGAAAAAACATTTTAAAATGTGTTATTTTCCACTGAATGATCCACAAAGATGTGCAATATGGGTAGCCAACATGAATAGAGAAAATTGGACACCTAATAAACATTCGGCGTTATGTGAAGTATATTATTTCTTTTAAAGAAAATTATTTATATTAATATTTGTTAGGAAAAGATTTTCAAATGATAATCTTTATATGAATATACAGGTACATTTCACTCCTGAGATGTGGGAAAATAATCGTCAGGATAACCTGCTGAAACTAAAAAGAAATGCGGTACCAACTTTATTTAGAGATACAGGTAAAATTTTATTTATTGTTTTGTTTATTAGAGCTTTCAAATTTCTTGTTGAGAAAATAAAATTCATGTATAATGATTATCTTCTACAGAAACTAGTGAAGTAAATGATGCTACTTTTACTAATCTTAATGAAAATCAAGATGTAGCTGTTGTAATTGAAGATACAAATGATAATAAATGCAACGTTGAAGCACCTAATGGAGCTATTGTTGAGGAAGACAATGTAATAATGCATAATATATCTAAGGAGAACATAAGTAACAAGGAAATGGAAAATGAGATATATTCTAACAGTGCGGGTACATCTGAAAGGAAAGAATTAATGATAGGAGAGAACACGTCTAGTTCATACACTGATAATTCGGAATCTTATAAAAAACAATTTGAAAAGTTACAAAAACATTATATCAAATTAGACAAGATACATAAGAAAACTAAGATAAAATTAAAAAATGCGGAAAATAGAATTAAACGCCTTACGAAAAAAGTGAGTATGAATCAAAGTGACATAAAGAATATATAGTGCGACGTGAACTAGCCTCGGAATCACGCCAGATCCGAGGGAGCACGCCCAATGGAAATCGGTAACCGCGGTACTCCACGATCTTCGGGAGTTAGGTAACTTACGCGGTGTCGGCCGTAAATGCACAACTAGGTAACTCGCGGTATCGGCAATAAATGCTCGATTTGGTAACCCGCGGTATCGGATAGAGATGCTCGATTCGGTAACTCGCGGTACTTCACGCTCGTCGGGAGCAAAGTAACTCGCGAAATCGGCAATAACTGCACGATTCGGTAACTCGCGGTCCTCCGCAAAATTCGAGAGCAAGGTAACTCACGCGATATCGGTAACCGGAAATGGGCGCCAGGTGCGAGTAATCGCACCGCGGTATCGGTAACTTCAACAGTTCTCTAAAATGCTCGGCCGCTCCCCGCTCAGTATATGGCAGAGGGGCGCAGTTCTTTTATTTGACGTTAGATATCTGGAGTAGAGGCGAACACAAGGACAACTCAATAATTAAGATTTAACAATAATGTATTTCAACGATTTGGTTACAAGGGTAAAGATGAGTGGATCGTTCGGCCTGAGCCGATACGGCGGAAATAGTTTAATACGGCGGTAGTAAGGCAATTCGCCCAATAAATCGGTAACGAGAACAAATTTTGGTAACTACATGAAATTTTGGAAACGCGATCACGATAATTCGCAGCTGATCCGACGATATTCAGCAAAACAAATGACTTGTATTACGACCATCCGACGCGGCCGGTGAAGGCCAAATAAATATGCTTTGAACGATGGTAGCCTAACGGCCAGAAATGAGATGTCGCGGAACGGCTATTTTCGCGGGCTTTCACGTTTCTCGCCGAGACGCTAACTTGACGGTAACAGCGGTCTCGCAGAGAACGTTCCCGAGCAAAATCCGTCGCGGACATTCACCCACGGTACTTCCGGTACGGTGATAACGAGACAAAAACGGTAACAAAATATCGGTATCGTAAGAAAGACGGTAGCAAATAGTCAGTATCTCCAAAAAGAAACGGTAACGGAAAGACGGTACGGTAACGAAACGGAACGGCAATCGACACGGCAACGAGAAAGAGACTGTCGGTGCTTGTTTCACGGAAGACGAAGAGGCTTTTACGCGATATCCGGAGCCGGCTGGATATGCGGTAACTGAGCGTCAAAACGCGCTCACGGTATCGAAATCGCGGTTAGTTGTGTGAAAGACACTAAACACAGAACTTTAGACTCACGCTACCAGCCATAACCGGACGGAACTCTATGGCTATCCGAGAGGCGGCTTACATCGAATCGGCGTCTTCGGCGTCTTCGGCGTCGTTGGGCTGAGTCCTGGCGTTGGTCCTTGCTCACTTGCGGCACACCGAACAGTAACTCTTTTCGGCTCTGCACGTAGGTCCTTCTAATTTCCCGTCGCCTTCCTGCGCATCCTGCCAATTTTCCAAAAAGGGGGGGCCCCTGAGAACCGCCCACAGTTCATCCAGGGCGCCCCCTCCCCGCTTTCTGTGGTTTCCTCAAATCATTCGGTCGGCATTGTGTTGATGAGTCGATGTTCCCGGAAGAGACTGGTTAGGCTGGCCGGGCCATACTCCGATCCCTCCGGGTGCAGCATCTTCGAAGTCCTCGAAGCCGTCTGCAGCCGGGCGAGGTCCGCTGCTGCGTTTCTTTGCGTTTGTGGCTAAAACCAAAGCGGAGTTAGTCGATAGGGCTTGGATGGCGGAGGCGACGGGATCGCGGTACCTGACTTTTTTGCTGCGGGGTCACTAACACGTGACACCCGTTGATGATCCCCCGGCGTCCGGTCTCCATGGCGATGCTGAATCTTCGCCCTGAGGCACAAAATACGCAACGCCGCCCGCACGGGGCCTTACAACTTAAACGATAATAACAATACAAAACGGGAACGACATATAAAACAACGCGTAAAGATTGTGGAGTCTCGCGGGTTGCTCTCTCGACGTGAGGAGCAACACCAGGACTCGTTGCTCCCTCGGCCGGGCTATCGCCCTTGTGACGGCGCTCGAAAAGCGTCACGTCACAATAGAAATATATAGAAATTTATAACAAAAGTGACATAATTAAAGAATATATAGAAATATATAGAAATTTATAACAACAAAATTATTAAAAAATTACAAAGAGACAATAGTGTTTCATTAATCTCTTGCTTAAAATCATAGTCCATATAGAAATCGTTATTTAGAAAAGTACAATTACTATTAAATTATTATTATTATTACATTATTTATATCACTTATATTTACTTCTTGATTTAATATTAATTTAGTTTAAATATACTGTGTGTTAGAGAGAGAGAGATTTAAATTAATTATTTACCTACTTTTTACAGAAACGATAATAATACACATGATTTAAAACTACAGAAATTTTTTTTTGTAAATTAGGAAATTGGCAATTATAAAAATTCACTAATCTAATTTTATGAAATTATACCAATACTAAAAAAAAAAGAAATAATAATTTTTGGTAGATAAAATATCAACTGTGCAAATATCATTGTAAAAATATATAAAAAAATATATATAAGTTTTAATTTTATTTTAAGTTATAAAAATTGTTTAGGATTTTGTAGATAGTTTATTTTTAGATACAACTTTCATTACATGTAGTACATTAGTTTCTTAATAATCTTTCTAAGTTTTCTTTAATTTTTTGGTTCATTTATGTATAAATTACAGAAACAAATTTGAAAGCGCGTCACAGGTTTCCTGTTAATGGCGGACGGTGTCCATACTCTTACTAGAGGCAAGATCTATAGAGAGAAGGTTACCTCACGCGCAAAGAGGGACGCGCGGCAAGAGGGGCACATGCTGAGCAGGGTGAGCGGCAAGAGGGGCAATGATGATCTCATCGACGAACAATAGCTGTCTCTCTCGCACGCTTTAGTGTTTTCTCTCTCGCTCCTTTAATATAGAAATGCTTTGAGTTTTTATCGAAAAAATACTTTTATTTTGTAAAATATTGATAGCACTGGAAATTGCGTAATAAAAATTGAAAAGTAAATTAGAAAGGCGCTATAAATTACATATATTGCAAATTATAGCGCTAGATATTTAACGTTTATAATGTTAAATATTGCTGCAACAGATGCATTTGTGATACAAATTGCTTTGTACTCGTATTTAGACTGTAATATCAATGAAAATAAAATATAATTTGGGGATATACACAAAAAACATCATTTGTAAAGTAGTAAAATAAAAGAAAAAATAGTACATATTTAAAAATTATTTTTAAAATAATATTTACTGTTTATAGGCATTATTTACAAAAAAATACTATAAAAAAATTTATTTTTTATATTTAATTGTGAAAACCTCAAAAATTGTCAAGAAATTGTAACTGAAATTCTAAATGTAAGTACAATTCTAGGATAATATAAAAAGCATTATACACAAATTTATTATGATACAAACTTAAATAATGAAATTGTAATATATGTTTCAACATTGCAAATGTGAATATTTATATGATAAAATTTACAAAGTGTTAACAATTTTCAAATATTTGCTAATAAAATATTATTGAAATGTTTCTGTTGAAATCTTAAAATAATTCTTTAAAGCAAATATGATGGGGTATATATTAGGGATCATTAAATATGCGGCAACATTGTGATTATAAAATTTTATAAGTATCTATAATAAAAATTAAGTATAATAAATATAATAAGTAAATAAGTATAATAATAAAATTTTTATAAGTATCTATAATAATAAAAATACATATATGTTGTATTAATCTGTTAATATAAAGAAATTAATAATTAATTTAATGCAAATAAATTATACTTAATTTTTATTATAGATACTTATAAAATTTTATAATCACAATGTTGCCGTATATTTAATGATCCTTAATATATACCCCATCATATTTGTTTTAAAGAATTATTTTAAGATTTCAACAGAAACATTTCAATAATATTTTATTAGCAAATATTTGAAAATTGTTAACACTTTTGTAAATTTTATTATATAAATATTCACATTTGCAATGTTGAAACATATATTACAATTTCATTATTTAAGTTTGTATCATAATAAATTTGTGTATGATGTTTTTTATATTATCCTAGAATTGTACTTACATTTGAATTTCAGTTACAATTTCTTGACAATTTTTGAGGTTTTTCACAATTAAATATAAAAAATAAATTTCTTTATAGTATTTTTTTTGTAAATAATGCATATAAATAGTAAATATTATTTTAAAAATAATTTTTAAATATGTACTATTTTTTCTTTTATTTTACTACTTTACAAATGATGTTTTTTGTGTATGTCCCCAAATTATATTTTATTTTTATTGATATTACAGTCTAAATACAAATACAAAGCAATTTGTATCACAAATGCATCTGTTGCAGCGATATTTAACATTATAAACGTTAAATATCTAGCGCTATAATTTGCAATATATGTAATTTATAGCGCCTTTTTAATTTACTTTTCAATTTTTATTACGTCAATTTCCAGTGCTATCATTATTTTACAAAATAAAAGTATTTTTTCGATAAAAACTCAAAGCATTTCTATATTAAAGGAGCGAGAGAGAAAACACTAAAGCGTGCGAGAGAGACAGCTACTGTTCGTCGATGAGATCATCATTGCCCCTCTTGCCGCTCACCCCGCTCAGCATGTGCCCCTCTTGCCGCGCGTCCCTCTTTGCGCGTGAGGTTAGGTTAGGTTAGGTAACCTTCTCTCTATAGATCTTGATTTTGCGTGTCCTGTAAATAAAAATGAAAATTTGCCCAATCGCAGTATCCGACTAATAGCGTCTGAGCGATTGCGTCAAAAGGACATGTATTTATAAGCATGATAGGTTTTTTATTAAGTATCACCGGACTTAGAGTACTGCCATTTTTTAGTAATGGTAATGTTGTAATAAATTTTGGTTTCAGATGAATGCTTTCGACATCCGGACAATTGGTTAAATACTTACCAGGGCTTTTTGGATTGTTGTTTTTACCTCTCAAATTTTCTACTTTGTTAAGATATGTATGACATGTCAAATTAACGTCAGTAGAGCCCTCGAAAATATTGTCATTCTCAGTATCGCTATTAGTAAGCGCAGAAGGAATATTAGTATGCACAGTTGTTGTATCCTGAATTGAAAAATTTCTTGCATCGGCCGCAGGATCATCTACAATATTAGAACTATTATTTGTAATATCTCGTGTAATATTAGGACTATTAATACATTTATTTGGATCGATGTTTTCAACATTATCGTCAATATCGTTAGACATGGCATGCAAATCAGCTGCATGTAAGATTTTCATGGCGCCTGCAAGCGACCTGATGTGCATAACAAGAAATTTGTCATACATTTGGCACCTTTAAAAACTAACTGTTTTACTTCTCTGAAATATTCCTCGCTGCAAGCAGAAGATGCTATGCGGATCGACATTACTCCTATCCACAGAGGAAAATGTTTAGCAATTTTAAGTAAATTGCTACCAAATTGAGGGCACCAATATGGATTAGGCCTTTCACCAGTGTGATTGGGTTTGCTTTTAGATTCTATATGCCGTAAAAAAATTGTTATTTTCTTACCGCATTCGTCATCCAAGGCATTTATCCAATTTTTATTTAGAGAATCTGTTTCACAATCAGTATTGCACAAGGTTTCATCATTCTTAATTAATTGAATTAATTTCTGTTGTGCGCTAAAACAATTATCTACCTCATCGGTAGATATTTCTTCGCTATCAGAATTTGCTACCGTTAAGATATTTCGACAAATGAGATGGAATTTGTCGATATTTGTGCATTTCGTAAAAAAAGCGGTGCAACGTACATAAAAATCTTTAATCCGCATATGTTTGCCATCAAAACATTTCCATCGGCACACTTGTTTCAATAAATGCGCGATATCAAGGCGTATAATGCACTTTGGTCTCTGTGTGTAGTCGCAAGTTTCTAAAAATGACATACACTGTTCAATATAAGTATTTAAATTTATATCGTTAAAAGCAAGGCTAATTGCGTTTAGTAACGCGAGAGAATAATCTGTTACGATTTCAAAGGGACAAGGAATAGGCGTACGCAACCATTCTCGTAACCAAAAAGATAACATATTCGTATCGTGTTTCTCTGAGATCATTTGAGATACTGGCAATATCTTTCCATTAAAGGGAACCACGGCTTGATATAGAAATACTGCATTTGATGAACCGTCAGGTCTTGTAATGCGTTTAATCAACGATCCAGTAGCATCTATGCTTAAAATATCTTTTGTAACAGCTTGTTGTTTAATAAATTTTTTATATAGAAATATTTGTTTGTTGCTCCAATACATAACAAAAAACTTATCCATACCTATATTTCTTATACAGCCTGCAAACTCGAGTTTATATTTTAACTTAGCAATCGATACGATCGGATCGGAGACATTGCTTAATCCTAATATCCGATCTTTTTCTAATTGTTTTGCTTTACGTAACACATTTTCATTATATAGATGCGCCGGCTCTACGTCTCCAAACGTCATTACTTCGTTCGCTTTCTCTCTTCTCCACGCGTATACCGATGATGCACATATCTCCTTTACAACATTTGCTCTATGAGTACCGCGCAATTGACGTTTTTTTATATGTTTTATGTCTCTTGTGTCACTAGTAGATACATAAATATCAAGACCGTCTGCTGTTGGTTTGTTAACACTATACGCATTAATAACTGTGTTACATTCCGAACATTTTCCCTAGAATTTAAGATATATTTCGCCATTGTTATCATTAATTTTTGCATTTTTAAATGAGAAACAACATGGAAGCTTTAAGGCCTTTCATAATTCCTCCAGGCCTTCCCTCACACCTTCCCTCTCAAATTGCGCACAAAGGTTCCGTCCCGGGTAAAAGGGATTCAATTCCTTGACCCAAAAAGGGAACCACAAGCGGTTGACTTGTCGATGGAATAAAAACGACTCTTCCAGTCGCTGACCCGTCGCAAGTCCTAAACGTGCCGCTCGGCTCGTGCGGTCAGGCCCGTTTACGTTGATCGCCGAGCCCAACGAAAAAAATTCAACATCTATCAGGACGTAACAGAGGTTACCCAGTCGGATTTACATCTCTTTTGTGTGTGTGTGTGTGTCGCACAGCAGAGATACGGGACCCCATGGTTCGTCAATCCCACGGTAGTTAACGACTCCAAACCCTATCTGCTCTATGCGTGCTTGCGGGCGTATGTGTTCTTGCATACGTATTTAAAGTAATAATCCCCCTAACTTACCTTTCTTCTATCACAATCTCCACTCCATCAATATTTTCTTGATTTCCTCTATTTGCTGCATCTCTAGTTGTATTTAGTAGATTTCCATCTGGATATTTTACACCCCTCTGATAACAAACATATCCAAGATACCACAAAATGCTTGTCACATGGGCGCATGTACCTAATGTTCTTGCACTAGATTGACAAGTGCAATAATAACCATTTATTACTTCTTGTTCAACTTCATTTTCGGGGACATATGAAATGAAAACTTGATGCTTTGTGCGATTTCGAAATCTGGAATAAACTCTTACCCTTATGAGATTGTTCTCTTCAAACAGTGTCAATTTGCAATTCATCATCATCATTTCTCTGCAGTTTATCTTGAATATATGAAGGTGAGAGATTAACTTGATAAACGCCTATAGTCAAATCTCGCAAATAATCTATTTTCAAGTCGTGGAAACCTTGGAACTTGT